TAGTTTAGAAGATGGAACAGCCAAGATGGTCCAATAGGTCCCATATTGTCTCAAAACGTCGTATTATGTTATCCTGACGTCATCTATTGAATTAAAAATATATTTAAGTTGTGTTTGACACAGACCAACACTCGTGTTTATATGTAATACGATATGATCCTTTATTTAATCTATAATGGTATTTAAAGATGTTACTGTAAATATAAAAAGTTAGCATAAAACCCAACTCGACAGGGATTTGAATGCAAGGCTTCCACATAACAGTCGAACACTGTGACACCCCATCTTTGTAATCGAATGTTAACAAATAATTCAAATTCCTAATTTAAACCATCATGTTATTTAGATTTTTCCTAATATTGTATGATCTTGTTCTAAACATGATGGGGTAATAATCAAAAAAATTATAAAAATACATTCGATTTGGACGCGAAACTTCGCTTTATACTAACCGCTGAGCCAATTTGAACGTCATCAACAAAACGAGTGCTACGAACAGAGAGTGGAGCGTTACCAACAAAGGTAGCGTTACGAAAATAGAGTGACTTATATATATAAACTTTGCTAATATACCTTCCAAAAAAAACTACATCACACATGATTTAATTCAGATTTAGCGAAGAATCTGCGTCATGTTTAAAAACAGCATGTTTTTGTTTTTTATTTAAAAAATACAGAGTAGTTTAGATTTACGTATAATCAGAGAGGATGTTAAGCTACGACTACGTAAGTGGTGGAATCTTGACAGGTATAACGTGACTGTATGAACAAGGAACAGTACACATATTCGATGACGAGGAACCCACTTTGAGACTAATAATGGCTGGAGACGGCTTGAATGGGTAATGAAGAAAAACTTTAATATAAGTTTAGCATAACAGCAAATGTACAACGTTTCGACATATGTTTAGATGTAACTTTTGTGTTTGTTGTTAAGCGCACATCTACACAATTGGCTATCTGTGCGGTACTTACCACGGGTTTTTTAGTGTTGTAATTGTTCAGATTTAATGCTGAGCCACTAGGGACGTCCACTATGAGAGACTCCGATTTCTAAAATACAAATATTCGATGACTAAGCAGTTATGTTAATTGGTTGAACAGTATTTATTATGTTTAGCGAGCGAACATACTTATAAAATAAATGGGGATTGTTACAGCTCAGCATAAGCAAGACCTTTAAAAATTGGGTAAAGACAGAGTTGTAACATCATATTGGCGCCTGATTAGCTAGAAGTTCCAAGGTTATACATATAGATAGGTAGAAACGTATCTCAGGCCTTAATTTCAGCCAGAGCTGTCTGAGGTTGAACTCCAGAAAATAATTCCACCTTTTGACTCCTGCCTGAGATTATTCTTTAGTGGAAACAAAACAAATAAATAAAACTTTCATATCTGTTTTGTTATAAAACAAACCAACTAAATTAGCAACACACTAAATTAAATAAACAGAGTTGTCGCCCCTGAAAGTGTGGACAATGTTAATGCTGAATTTCACTGGCTTAGGCCCCCAGTGACACAGCGGTATGTCTGCGGACTTACAACGCTAGAATCCGGGTTTCGATACCCGTGGTGGGCAGAGGACAGATAGCTCATTGTGTAGCTTTGTGCTTAATTACAAACAAACAAAAACACTGGCTTAGTGGGACCTACTCTAAAATTGAATAAAAATTGTCTGATAATCATTAAAAAGTTAAAAACATTCAACGATTTCACAGTATTAAAAGTACTGTATTGAGAATGCAAAAAACAAAAATACAAATTAAATTGTTTGCTATGTACTACAAAATAACATTTTCACTAAGGTTTGCTTCGTCATGCACGCTTGATATGACATTTTTAATGGGTTCTGTGCAAACTAACTGCATAGAAAAAGACTAAATAATTTTTTTTGTCAGCAAAATATTTGGGGGAGAAGGCAATGATATTCGGGCCCCAATTTTATTATTGTAGCTTCTTGATCTCCCACGCTCCACTGTTTCGATACGATATTTTCTGTGTGATGGGCTCTGACTTTGTGCTGGTAAAAGAGTAGTCCAAAAGTTGGCGGTGGGTGGTGATGACTAGCTGCCTTCCCTATAGTTTTACACTGCTAAGTTAGGGACGGCTAGCGTAATTAGCTCTCGTATAGCTTTACGCGAATTTCAACACAAACAAACAAACTGACTTTGTGCAATCACACTGACAGACAGAATTTCTGTGCTTCCAAACTATATTTTGTAATGTAAATAAATTACAAAAATTTTCAGTAAAACTGTTTGCTTATGAAAATATTTCATATCTACATGATTGATTATATTCCTATCATAACAGATATATATATATATGCATGTGATGTTGAAATATCTTTTTATCCTGCTTATGAAGAAAACCAAGTAAAACTATGCTAGAACCACCAGGTAAGTTCTTTAAAACCACAGGTAAGGCTATGTTTTCTGTATCTCTTGCTATAGTGTAAGTCTCTTTATTACTATCATCTTTTCTGTGAAAAAAATTCACGAACCAGCAAAATGTCGAAATTGAAACATTCTCTCGGTATTTATAAAAATCAGAAGTATACCGTATTTTCTTCAATAACACTTTCTAAGTTATCCATTACATATTCATTAATTTCGTAACGTCGAGATCAAAGAACGAATTGGTTAATATACATACCGAATTTGGTTAAGATCCATCGATTTAGTAACCTGTGGTAGCAGGTAATCGATAACAGAGAAGAATCAAAAATCTTCTCTGCAATACACATGCTCTTTCAGAAAGCTAATAAAGTAGTAAGAAAAGGACC